TAGTAATAATAAACCAGACCTTAGGGAAAGCAACTGTTTAGGATAATAGAATAATTTTTAGCGTCTAAATTCTGTGAATCATGCAGTCAAAAAAGATTCAAAAATACAAATTTTTGTCTTTGTGCATAGTTTTTTAGAATAAAATTACTAAATAATCCCACAAAATTTACAGCTATGTACATGTACATGTAGTTGCTTATCATTGACTGAAAGTCTGAAATTGAAAATGTTTCTACATGCATTTGATAAATACAGATATGTACATGTACATGTAATACATTGATAGACTCACATAGCAGGTGTCATTTTGCTTTATGGTAAGCGTGAAACTTGATTTGAAATCAAGATCACTCGCTTTGACTGTCGTTATATCAAATTTCTATAAAATAAAATAAAAATGACTGAATTAACCTACTTGCACATAAAATAATTTTAATTAACTGTGTGGTTTTATCAAAGGCCCCACCAATTCATAAAGCACATGCAAGAATATTTTACACCCACACAGATAATTATATTCCAAACCTTAATGACGTCTGATGTTGAAATGAGACAATACTCATCAACCAGTTTGACTGTTGGCTCAAGTAAAACTTCATCTTTCATACAAGACATTTTAAAACCTAAAAATGTAAAATATCAATCATTAAAATGGATGTACAAAAGGCAATTTTGTAAAAATTATCAACTTATTGCTAAAATTTAATTCTTGTTTGCTTAGATACTGCTCTTGTTACAATAATAATAATAAACTGCTCACCTCTAACACTCTCCCAGAATTTGATCTTTGAGTTATATTCATATCCATCTCCCATGGCAACTAGACTCATGTTACACCTGTTAGGATAAACTGATGGAAAGAAAGAAAAAGAGAAAATTCAATAATTGCCAAACTCATAATTTGCGTGTTCCAATCAAAATTCTTAAATTTGCTCAAAAATTTGATCAAAGTCCCTGTATGTGGTCTAACTCAGGCCAAATTTTGCTAAAATTAAAAAGGAGAGAATTCTCCAATTTTATATTTTTTTCCAGATACATATACATGTTTTTATGTTGTGTATCAAGTTTGAGCTGATTCCAATTAAATTTAGATTTTTTACAAATTTCCAAAGTTACTCAAAAATCGGACAAAAGTCCCTGTACTATTAGTAACGCGGCAGCGTTACTAAGTAGGATTCACCCCCAAACAAAATGGCTGCCACGACTTTTGCAGCCTTGCTATACCAGGAAAACGAGCTCCTGTGCTTACCAGACTTTTTAGAGGACCTCTACTTGACCAGAGGACTCCATTGGTACCAATAGCGCGGCTCTAGACCTTTTCTGGGAGAAAAATCAAAAATCTGCAAACCGGCCGTTTTGTTCAGCCACCTTTTTTCATCTTCATCATCAGGAAAGTCCTGTCAATCCAGTTGTCGGTCGATATATCGATCTTGCCTGGTGATGGAAGGCTAATTATTACACCATTCTACTCCCACAGGGTATGCGCAGGTCCTTGTCCCCTAGAATCATTCTTGAAGAAAGGAATAAGTGATACTGTGACTGTTGGATAGCACCAGCTTACTTCATGCCGCCATTTTGTTAATTAAATAAAGAAGCATGTGCTCCAAAATTTGGGCGTGGTCGCGCATGCTCAGATCTCAGAACTGGGAACAGCAAGTATTTTTACCTAGCTATGCTTGGAATCAAATTGCAATACTTAGTGGAGGTTTCCAGCTAAGACAAGGTATTAATCTTGCATATATCAAGTGTGTAATGAATTATTTTATTTCAAAAACACAAAACAATTAATTAATGTTTATAATACTAGTGATAATATGAACTTGACAACAGGAAGAACCCGCAGGAATAGCTACAGGATTGCTGGTAAGATAGAGCTTCTTGAACAAGGATTCACATCAAGACTATAGTATTCATTTCACTTGTCATCAGTATAGTAGCTATTCCTTCACCATATCTATTCAATTCAATCAGTGCTGTCCCTCATAAATGCTGTAAAATCATAACAATGACAACAATAATAAAAAACTTATTGTTTGTGTAAAATCAAAAAGTATCACAATTGTAACTGAAAAAATATTATAAATATTATAAAAAAATTAACACAAACAAGAACATAAAAAATTTTAAAAAACAAGATTGAGTAGGATTCCAAACGACCAACGAAAATACGAAATGAAAATCCTACTCTCGTGACGCAAATTCTACTTTACATTGCAAGGTGATCCGTAATTCTTACATAATAACATTAAAAGTACAATGTAGAGTAGAATTTGCGTCACAAGAGTAGGATTTTCATTTCGTA